TTTTTTTTGTTGATTTGCCAATTTACCTAATTTTAATTTATAATGTTGTCTTTAGGTTTTTAAGTTAATGTGGGCATGGGAAAAAATGTTTATTTTTTTTTTTAAGAACAAATTAGACTGTGTTAAATAATAGTCGGGGATCCTTTTTTTTTTTTTAGGAAGTATTTGGTTAATTACAACTATTATTTAAATAATTCTTGGATCAGGTGAGTTTTGAAATTTTTTTTAAATAATAAAAATAATAAAAAAATAAAATAATTTAAGGAACTTTTTGATTTACTTTTTTTTTTTTTTTTTTTTTTTTTCATATTCGATTATTTAAAAAGAATTAATCGAAATCCTTTATTATTTTTAATATGGATTAGATTCGATTAAATTGTTTTCTTTTTTCCTCCCTCATTAAAACTTTTATTAAAAATCTACGTTAATTTTAAAATATCACATGACACATCCCTTAATGACAAGATTAACGTTAGCCCCTTACATTCATCAAATTAAAAAAAAACTTTATTCAATTAGAACCACGAATAAGGAGACACAAAGAAAAAAGGTTCGTTTAACTTAAACAGGATATACCATATAATTAAGGGAGTCAATAGCATATGTTAATTTTAACAAATAAAGAAATTTCTGGCGAAATTGTCTGTGAGTCTACATATGTTTCACACAAGTCCGTTCGTCAACTCCCGTTCACCGTGAAAATCCAGTTTTTTATTAGTCATATTGATCACTTTTTTAGCTTAGCATACAAGAGTTAAGTTTAGTCTATCGATTGAAATCGCGATTATTATTACTTTTAATTAAAAAAAGAAATCTTTTTTTTTTTTTGAAAAAAAAAAAAAAAAAAAAAGTTCCCTTCTTATAACAATAAGGAAAGTCTGAATAATAAAAAGAAATTTTTTTTTTCTTTTTGTTAAAAAAATCATGATGTAATATTTAATTATTGTATAACAATTTTAGTAATTTAACAAATATGGTATGATCGAATTTTTTTTTTAAAAAAAAAAAATAAATAAAAAAGAGATAGAGTTTTAGGCCTAGAAGTCCTTTTAGTTTAGCCAATCGCCTAAAAGATAAAAAATCCTTGACAAAAAGAGATGGGATCACTGCGGATCCGTACTTCACGATCCCATAGTTGTTGCCGTAATCGTACACAAAAACAAATAAACCACGGACGGATCCAGAAAAAATCAAATCAAATCAAATCCTTATGGAATTAATTTCACGCGATAATATTTTTTATTTTTTAACACGCGACATTTAAAAATGTGAAAAACGTGTGTTAAGTTAAAAAAGCGTCGCAGCTTCGATTTATTTTTTCTCCACAAAATCATGGCGATTTGCCTGGTTCACTTTGCTCATACATCAAAACAAACAAGCAATGAACGCATCTCAACCATCAAAAAAAAAAAAAAAAAAAAAAAAAAAAAGGGCATAAAATACGGCAAAGTGCCTGTCCTACGCCTTTTCGACATATATAGAATAACTTGATAATTTTATCATTAGTGATACTAATTATAGTCATTCTATAAATTATTAATAAGAAAAAAAAAAATTTAGTATTCCGGGTACCAAAAAAATTTTTTATTTTAAATTTCATTCGTTCATTATCATTTATAGCATTCATTCAACTTTCCTCTCTAAACCCAAATAAAATTTAGTTTGACAAATCATAAACAAGAAACGAGAAAAAAAAAAAAAAAAAAGAAAAAAAACGCAATTGCGGCGATGCAAGTCCAATATGCATAAGGCAATTGTGCATTTAAGAAAACTCATATTTGATATCAAAAGTACCCAAAAGGAAAGGTTGATAAAAAATATGGTTCGACGTTTTTTTATTCAGGTTGGGGATGATTTATAGTAGATGGCCAGTGCGTGGCTCAACAATGGCTTGGCCTTTTAAATGAATTAACATTAGGTGTGTAGGTTAGTAAATAAATGATACGATTTGGGCCCAGCTTTTTATGACCAGAAAACTTTCCATTCCGCGGTACCAATGTGATTTAATGATCTATGTAGATTGGCTTCAACGTTTTCAAAAGCCGTTTGCAGAATTTGCAACGAATCTCCATGACTAACAAACACCACCACCAAATGTTCTTTTAAAAGTTCGGAATGTTGTTCAATCTCGCGAATCACGTCGCACATACGTGATCTGACTTGTTCACAAGATTCAACGCCAATTTCTTTGTATTCATTGTTTGATGGCGTGGTGATGGACTCATCAATTGCCCACACTTTAGAATAAGACTCATGATCTGATCTTAACTCAAATATACCAAAATTTCGTTCTCTTAAATCATCATGTACAATGACCTCTGGATGAACCGTGACATCTACGTAAGGTTCGTCTCTTCCATTATTCAATAATTCCGTGAGCAGGATATTCGCGGTTTCAATGGTACGAAGGAATGGAGAAGAATAGATTTTAATGTGAATTCTTTTAGACAAAGAAAACTGATTTTGTGATGGATTGTTGAACTCTTCATTGTTCCTATCATCATCTCTTTTCTTTTGTTGATCATTTAGGTGGTATCCTGATGGGAAATTGTTGTAAAGATAATTCAACATATTTTGTGATGCCTGTAATCATGACAATGTGGCATTATTAATCATATTACATGTTGTATATCTCTCGGAATTAGAGTTGACAATTAAGCGAATTAAACAAGCTTTAAAGTTTTTTTTTTTTTTTTTCTTTTTTTTTTTCCTTAATTAGAAGAATGTTTGTCGTAATTCCATTGTGTTGATTACGAGAAAAATTTTTTTTTTTTTTTTTTTGGAGATTTTACTTGCATAGATGTACGAACAAATACTTTAATTATTTTTTGTTGTTTATGTGTCTCTTTTTGCATTGTATGAATTTTGGTTGAAATATTTTTACATTAATAAATTAATGATTATACAATGCAAGGAATGTGATTTACACTATTATGTGCATTTTGCACATAATGCCGTAAGAAACTTCCATTTCGACTCATGATTACGACAAATTTTTTTCTTAACAACAATAAACCCATTTATGAATTTATTGTTTTACTATTTATTTTCTTAATGACAAAAGTTACTTACACTTTTAACTTGTTCCTTACCTAGCTGCGTTAATCCCCATCCATTGCCTTCACTCGAGGAGGAGGCGGGAGACGGAGGTCCTACTCCCGAAGAGGGAATCCCATTTTCCGGATGTGATACTACGATTTTAGCACTATTAGCTTTCGATTGTCCATGTCTGAAAAGAATGTAATGATTATTTAATTGTTCTAAAGAAAGTTTTGTTGGGGGTGAATTCATGGCTAAATTTAACAAATTGTTTATGGTGGGGGGGGGGGAAAATAAACCTATTTGTTTCACGGTATAAAAATAATTTGATAACTTGATAAAGTATGATAACTTATTGATAAATTCAAGGGTTAAACTTTAAAAAAAGATTTTTTTTTTTTTTGATGGAAATTGATAAGGTTTCATTAAATAAATAAATATATTGTTCAAAGTATTTCAAAAATTTTCCGTGTCATACGGAATTATTTTTTAATAAATTTTAAATCTCGTACCAAAAACGTTTTTTCTTTTTTTTTTTCTTTTTTTTTTTTTTTCAATAAACAAGCCCAAAAGCTTTTCATGGTAATGTGGCACAATTTGTTTTTGTTTAATCAATGGCTAAAAAAAATGAATAACTAAAAATGTATCACAAAAAAATGTGCGAAATGCAAACAAAGAGAACCATTCAAGTAAATATAAATAATTTTTTTTACCCGCGAATCTTTATGTAAAGTTTGGGAGGACATGGTCCTTTTATTCACTTTGTTAATTACTTTATTTTGAATGGTAAAAATTTTTTTTTTTTCTTTAAGAGATGCTTCTTCGCTGTCATGTACGAATCTTTCGATTTTCGTGTGGTTGAATTGCACTCACACGCAATGTTTTGTTTGATTCAATGTTTAAAAAAAGAAAAACGCCAAGGAGGTTAACCATTTTCGTGATTTGTCAAAGAAAAATCCTGTTTCATTTCCTGTCAGATGAGGTGACTATTTATGAAAGAGATCGTTCACTACATGCTCTCTTTTCGAAAGAAGGAATCTTGCCAAATCGTACATTGCTTGCGCGTAATACTTTTCATCATGTTTGAACGTCTTACCTCTTTGTTTACCAAAAGGTTCCATTATTCCTTTTGAAACAGGGTACTCGTATAAAATAATATATTCAATAACAAAATTATGGTTTGAAAATTGTGAATGATTTTCGATTATTTGTAATACCGGAATAAATAATAAACAAACCTGCATCGACTTCAAAAAACCAAGTTTTTGAAATTGGTCTTAGGATTTTTCAAGTAATGAATTTATGACGTAAGATTAACTGGTAATAATTTTTTCGGCTAGTTGTTTAAAAACGGGTTAAAAAAAAAAAAAAAAGAGATTGCTTGCGTCACGTCACGTTTTTTGTCACAACTATGAAGATTTCCGGACCCCTTATTTTGCCCGGATTTTCTTGGATAATGGATGCAGGGGGGTGTTCAAATCTTAATAATTTTGACGTTACTTCAATGCAACACACATATTATACGTACGAGATGGATTAATTTACGACGGTCCTTTGAAAAATTAAACCCCCTAATGATGATGTTATAAAATGATGTACGCAGAATCGATCATGTAAAGGTTAAAAGAAATGAGATGAAAATTATCCAGGGGGGATTTCATTATTTTTTGCTTTGAAAATAACGAAATCAATCTAGAAAGTCCAAAGTTATTATGATAATTGTTATGATATTTGAGCGGATTTGCAATCTGATATTTTTTTTTTTTTTTATTTATTTAATCTTATCTTCATGACAGATTTAGATTTTCAATTGTTTCTCGAATTATTGTTCTTTTTCACTCAACAAAAAAAAAAAAAAAAGATTACTCTCGAATTTAAAATATTTATCCGTGGTTTTACAAACCTGAAAAAACGGGCAAAGATAAATTCGAAGCATCGCACAAAAAAAGAAAAGAACAAACGACTAGGACAATTAGGTTTAAGATAATTGACATTGTCATTAAATTTTAGGTTTTTTTTTTTTATCTTTGGGCTCGTGACCTTTCTTTGGGGTAAATTTGTCCTAATGAATATCATGTTTTAACGAATTAAGGTAAATTAAACTAAATCGGAGCATTTTAACTGGTTATTTTTCTTGGAAGATTTGTTTGTGTAAAGCCTCCAAATTTTTTTTTTTATTATAGAATAAAAACTCGTTTGAAATGAGTTGAAGGAGTAAAATTATATAAGGATACAAAAAGATTCTTGAGAAATTTCTTCAAGCTTTTTTCACAAAAAAAAAAAAAAAAAAGAAAAAAAAGAAAAAAAAAAAAAAAAAAAAATAATAAAGAATTTTTTTTTTTCCCCCTCTTCTCAGGAAAAAAAGAAAATAGTTACCCAAAAGTCACTACGTACATTGTTAAAAAAACATCGGATTATTTCTTATCGCAATCCTTGCCTCCCCAACCCCTGTGTTGTTTCTATATTTCATCTCTCATTTGATCAACACGCATATTTTCTTCGAGAGAAAATACCCCACCAAAAAAATTCTTTAATTAAAACGAGAACATTCCAGTTACTTTTTTTTTTTTCTTTTTCTTAAAAAATAAAAAAAAAAAATTATTTTTTTCTTTTCACATTCTCTCAACATTCTTATATTCTTATATACTTAAATTTCAAAAAATCCTTTTACGCCATTTTCTAAAAAAAGATTCATCAAAATTACTTTTTTTAACCCCTAAGCTATAATAAAGAAAACGATTACTCCTTTAAGAAAACGATTCATCATACGGGAACTTAAAATTTTCCTCAATTGAATCTTTAAGACAAACTAAGATAAAAAATTCTCAAACCGCTCCGAGTAACCAATGTAAGTATAGTCTCAATTATGAAAATGACTGTTTAAGGGAACATAAAAATATTAGGGAATGTTAGGCGGATATCGGGACTTTATATAAAACTCTGGATACAAAACGCAGTAAAACAACGAACCAGGAAAGCCACGCGCGCCACGGGATGTCGATCCGTCAAACAAAATTAGCTAGCATAGGTGTTGCAAACACGAGAGAAACGCAGCAAATGTTAAAGTTGCTTTTTTTTGATGTGGTAGATAACAACAACCAGAATGCAATATACACATAGCAAGAGAAAGGCCTTGCGTTTAATGACGAATGCTTTGAAGTTTGAAGATCATCGTTGTGAAAATATTAAATAATAAATTCACAGTCTGACATGTGAATTCGAATTTCATTATATCAACACAGAAAGGTTCTTTGCGTAACTAAAAAGTGTCGAATCACCTATTCAAATTAATTATTAACCTTTTTTATTATATAACGGTAAGACCTTCATATACTTAATCACTCCACAATCTCATGTTAATACGTTGTCATTGCAACTATTGCGCCTCTTTTATACATATATATAAAAAAAAAAAATGGTAACATTTACAAACAAATAAATAAAGGGCGTTTTTTCCTAATATTCTCATTTCTATCATTTTTTTTCTATTCATTTTTTTTTATTTTTAACTCTATTGTTCGCTAAACGTTTCTTTTGAAAATTAACAAAAACTAACGCCGTATGTATTTCTATTTGTTTTTTTCTTTCTCATTTTTAAAAGTGGGTTTCTTTTTGGGGGTAGTTTGGTTATAATTATAGATACGAATATAGCCACAAGAAATTCAATTCTATCCAATTAGTTTTGATTTCTGTTGTAAAACCTGCTCGAAAAAGTTAACAAACGAAAATTTTTTTTTTTTTTTTTTTTTTTGAGGAAAAAAAAAAAATTATATATACATACATATATTTATCTTTCTCTTCTTTTTTTTTAACTTTTTTACTTAACTTCCTTTATTCTCAATTGTTTCCATTTTTTTTTTTATCGCAAATGGATTATTTGTTCAACTTAGTATTTGGCAACAACAAAATCGAAAAATCTCGAAAACCAATCAAACCAACCAAACCAATTCCTCCATTTGCTCCATTATCCTCTAAAAAATCGGATTATTTTAACAGCAACGGTAATAGTAAGCAAAATAGAAAGTCACACAGCAACGCTTACAATTACCATAATTATACTCACAAATTCCACAAAGGTTCTTTCAATAATAAGTCAAGATATTCATCAACCAAATCACATCATCATCATCATCATAAAATGCCTCCTGCAGCATTCTCGACCTTTCACTCACGTACTACGGCATTCACTGCTGCCACGATTAACTCACCCAGTAATAATAACTCCCCAATTAAAACTCCACAAAATAGAAGAGTGATTGATAGTGAGCAGAGATATAGAGTAGTTGATGATATCTGCGGGGAATCGAACTTGTACAAAATACTTGGTGTTGAACAAACTTGCTCTTCGGAAGAACTTAGAAGAGCTTACATTAGTGTAAGTAATTTTCTGACTATCGGTGTTTTTTTTTTGGAAGGAAGGTTATTGAGAGGGGAAAACTTATTATATATAGACACGTATAACGTAAAAAAGATGGATCACGTAATTAGTTGAAGTAGCGACAAAAAAATGGAAATGTTTATTAAAATGGCAATTGGATTTTTTCTTTTGGCTTTTCATTAGAGATCACGAATCTGCCATCCAGATAAATTCCCGGAATATCCAAAAGCAACTGAAGCCTTTCAAAGTAAGTGATCCTTGTCGAATCATTACTTTATGTTTTCCTTGTTGAAAACGAATTGATCGTCTAACATCTTTCCTTTTTTCCCTTTGATTTAACCAGAATTGGCATATGCATATGAAACACTGAATAAACCATCTTCGCGCCGCGCTTATGATATATCGGGAACCAGCGACCTCGGTAGCGTAAGCGGCATGGGCGACGAAACATTACATGGCGTTTTATATCAAGTAAGTCAAGATGTTGAAAAATCATTTTTTTTTTCCAAAAAAAAAAAAAAAATTTACCTTTTTTTTGGATTTAGTTATTCTTGGAATTTATGGATGGTGACTTCGAAATGATCCGTGCTTTAGTCAGTGAGTATATGAGGACTAATAGTATTTTCACTGCTGAAACGACCGGGCTGGATGTGACACCACCCGATAATGAATCATTCCTAATATCACGTGCACAAATCATTGCTTTTATAGACGCTTTAAATGAAGGCAATCCTGGGCTTAACCTAGGTGATGATGCAATTGAAACTTTAGAAACTGCTTTTCGAAGAATGAGAGAGTTACTTTTAGGTAAATGATCTTCGATTTATCGTGTTTCGTCTTTGTTTCATTTCAATTGTTTTTCTAAATCCTCGTCTACTTTACTACCTTGATAGCTGGAAAGAAGTATGTTAAAGTTGTACAATTTGAGCTCATCCGCTTGTATGAATTACAACAACAATTAAGATCACTTTCATATTTTGACGTGTTTGGTCGTTTACGTATAACCATGCAATTGGCAAAATCAACACTGACCATACCGATCCTCGTTGACAATGCAATGAAAGAAGAATTTGATACGTTAGGAAATAAAGGCATTAATAAAGGACTTTTAGGTGATGGTATGGCTAAAGTGATCACTAGTTTAGTGGCAGTCTTGGAAAGGGGTGAACGATACTTTTAAAGGAAATTGGAGAGCAGGGTTGTTCTTTTGGAAAAAATATATTTTATTATATATGATTAAGATATTTCCTTTTTTTCTATTTTTTTTTTTTTAAAAAAAAAATATTACGTCATCATTTTTTTTTTGGTATGGGCATCATAAAACACACACATATTTTTTTCTTATCACATTAACATAACACCTTTACCTAAGTTTGAAAATTCATATCCTCATTTTTTATAAAGAATTAGACGTATAGCGAAAGTATTTGATTTTTTTTCCTATATACAGAGTATATATATATATATATATATATTATATATATATATTCGTGAATTACACGAACAATTGAAAAAGTAAGGTGATGGGTTTTTATTTGTAGAGTGATATTTTTCAAAAAAAAAAAATCATTTCAATCTTTAAATTAGCGTTTGTACTTAAAAAAAAAAAAAAAAAAAAAAAAAAAAAAATTTCTCACATATTTATATATTAATAGTTATTTGCCATATCCCATCCCCACTTTTTGTATTTAGTTTCTACTCATTATTATTAATGCGCGCGAGATTATTATTATATATATTTTTTACTTTCTTTTTTTTTTTTTTATATCTTTATTTATTTTTAGTGATATTATCAAGGGTCATATACATACGTACATATAAGCAACCTTTGGTAATATTGCCTCGCACGCTTTAATTTACACAAAAAAGGAAGAAAAATTATCGTTAAAAAAATATAAATATATCGAAATTTTCTGTTACATAATTCAAATATTTTATCACGTGCGTACGCGAAGTTTTCTGGTCAATTAAAATTGCGTTAAAGGTTGTAGAAACGGAGTATGTAAAGTAAAAAAATTATCGTTACAAGCTTGTAAAAATTTCACAATAATAATAAACGTTTGAATAGAAGACATTTGTAAAGAAAAGTTTTATTTGCGCATATTAAAAGTTCACTTTGATTCCTCACGAAATGGAGCTATATTTCCCAGTCTGTGTATAAATGCCATTTACAAAAGTTAAAATTTAATGAAAAAAAAATATAAAATATTTTTTTCTCAAGAGATAATAAAAAAAAAATATATATATATATATTGCAAATTATGAAAAAAAAATTTTGCTGCCGTAGCAGCTATCCACTCAAGATAACGTGTCATCCTTGTGCAGGGGCCATGCTAATCTTCTCTGTATCGTTCCAATTTTAATAAGTGTCGCTCCGAAGAGACGACACTATAATACCCAACGCTAAGTTTATAAAGGGCTAGAAAATTGGATTTGAAAAAATTATGGGATTCCAAATAAACCCACCTCTACACATCGTACGTATTTGACGCGATTTTGATTGGCCAATTTTCTTCGTTCTGAATTATGATTGGATGACCAAAGTGCTTGAGATGATCGGCGGTTGTGATAAAAATCGTCTATTCTATAAAATATTGCTCATCTCATCTATTTCTCGTACTTTTTTATTTTACCATGTTTTCTTCTAAATTAAATAAAATTAATTTGCCACTTTTACGTAACAAACTATTTTCCGAGACGCAACAAAATTACTCCCTTTATTCTATTTTGCTTCGACGACATAGTAATAAAAAGTAATATAACTCCAAATGACTAGTGACTTTTTTTTTCTCCTTATTTTTTAACAGAATATAATTTTTTTTTTTTTTAGGTTAAGTATCCATGAAAAAACCTTGCAACTTGAAAAAGAAATAAAGAAGCTGGAACAAAAAATATTGAAGTTTGATAAAAAAGCTATTGCCTCGGAGGTGTTACCTCATTTAAACATTTTTTTTTTTTTTTAAAAAAAAAAAAATAATAATATTTATATATTTAAATCTTGAATGTTAGTCAGACAGTCAACCACTATTATCAGAAGACCTTTACACAAATGTATATAAAGCAATTTCCGACCCTTCCGTACCTCTTCCTCGACGACTTCAATCTAATTTTACAAATAATCTTAAATTACCGATGGATTCTCTTCAAGCGTGTCAAAGATCACCATTTCCTTCTATAAGTGATTTGAAAGCATCCAAGCAGGATCAAGCAAATGCAATAACTGAATGGGACAAAGAAAACTTGGAATCCTTGGAACAATTTAATAAATGGTTGTACGCTTGCGTAAGTTTTTATATTTATTATTTATAAACTTTTATCATTTGCTAATTTTAAAAGAAAAAATCAAATTTAATTATATCTAGGCGTTATTGAAACGACCTGATGAAGTCTTGGATATATTTTTATTGATGGAGGTTAGAATAAAACAAAGAACGTCGTTCCCTTAATACGCGCATTTTATATTCTAATCAAATGAAAGTTATTTATTTCAGAAAGCAGGTATTACCCCTAATATCATTACGTATGATAATTTAATAAACCTTTTCGCTTCTGTTGGAGATCTACAAAAAGCAATCGAATCATTTGAATTGATCGAACCTGGCAAGTATCTAAATTATTTAAATATTGATTACATTATTGCCTTTAATATTAATCGTTAATATAATATGTATTTATTTAGCTGGTCTTAGGCCGACGATACATAGTTACGCGAATTTGATTAAAGCATACGTTAAATATAATCGAGTCGATGATGCATTTAATGTGTATTCAAATATGAAAAATAGTGGGGTGATGCCATCTCAGGTAATCTAATATTCAAAACTTTTAAAATCTTTTTTATTTCTATTCTGAAATTTTATTCGTCCTTTTTTTTTTTTTTTAAAAAAAAAAAAATTATAGCCTATTTTTACTACCTTAATTAAAGGGTGTATTGACAACGGAGAAATCAAGCGTGCATGGACAACATTTGATCATATGCGGTTGGAAGTATGTCAACCCGATGAGGTTACGTACAGTTTAATGATCCGCGCGTGTGCAAAGGTCGGTATATAAATAAATATGATGATCGGATTGAATAAACCCCATACTCATTATTCTCATTTATTCTCGTAGGAAGAAAATTCTGAAAGGGCTTTTGATTTATACCAAGAAATGAAAGAAAAAGGATTATATCCAACTGACGTGACATTTAATTCTTTGATTCATGCTTGCGCAAAAAGAAAAGATATCCTTTAGTATATTTGATTGCTTCTATATTTTATATATATATTCTTAATTAAATTCTTACATTATTATGAAGAAGCATTTAAATTACTACACGAGATGGAAGAATTTGGTTATCAACCCGATATGATTACATATAATTTATTGATGTTTGCATGCTCAAAGAAGGGAGATTTACAAATGGCTAGGAATCTGTTAATATCAATGATCCGAAGGTGAGATTATCTGTGCTCTGTTATAGACATTTTATATACGCCCAACCAACCGAACACGATCGCTTCTTTTTTTTTTGTTTATAGTGCAAAGACCTATCCGTCATTGGCCCCAGATGAGTATACATTTACGAATTTATTTTGGACGTATTCTACCTATAGAGAACCCATGAATTACATAAGTAGAGATCAACGAGAAGAAATATTAAAAAATAAACAATTAGACGCAGAGGCAGATGCAGAGGCCTTGTTATCGGGAGGTAATTCTTTGGAATTTTCTCAGAGGCATCAAATTGATCAGAGAGATCTGTTGGACGAAAATGAGATTGCAGATATGAAAACTCATTTGTTATCTGGAGTTGAAAATAAAGATAATTCTTTGGAATTATCTCAGGGACAACCAATTGATCAAAGGGAACTGTTGGACAAGGATGAGATTGTAGAGATGAACACTCATCAAGAACTACAATCCGAATTAGTAATAGCAAATGGAGCACAACGAGAGAACGGGATTTCAGAAAATAAAGACTTGGTAATGATCGGATCCGGTACTTATCCATTATTGCGCAATGTGCCTGTTACTTACGCACAAACGGTTACAGAAGTGGAAATGATTTTCAATTATATAATCACATCGCAAACAAAGGAAACGACAGCTCCATTTCCCATAACATTGTCACCACAGTTAATTACCTCATATTTAGGCGTTCTAATTAAAAAGGCCCGTTATCCCAGTGTTTTTGATTTTTATCAAAATATAATACCAAAACTTAATGTTGAATTAAACGGATGGATATTTTTAAGTATATTAGATGTATGTTACAAACACAAGAGGGTTGATGAATCTTGGAGAATTTGGAAAGATTGGGAGAATTGGCGCGAACAACAAAATGAAAAGATTTACGAAAATGATTATGTTAGGAAGAAAGCATTTAAAGAAATCGGAATGACTTCAGAAATGGAATACAAAATTTATAGATCAATGATCAAAATTTTGGCTAGGTAAAGTAGTCAACATGCATTAAACTCTAACACTTTAAAACACGTTATCCTAACATTTTATTTCAAAAAATTTATTAGGAGTAATGAATTACAAAGTGGTATTAGATTATTACAAACTTTATCAAATTTACAAAGACCTGATATTAAAGACTTTATTTTATTGTTGCAAAAATGTGTTGAAAATGATGATGAAATGGCACAAAGAAAAGTAATTAATTTATGTTATAATGATCCAGAAAGAAGTAAAATATTGAAATCTAGAAATTTATTAGCAAAAAAATGGAAAGGACAAGGAATCAAATTACCACCTAGAAACAAATTCGAGGAAAGCGAAGGAAGGATGGGACGGTTTAATAAAAAAAGGGATGGAAATAAAAAATGGGAAAACGATAGGGGTGGTGAAAAATGGCATTTGCATGATGGTAAATAAATGTTCTTAGATAATGACTTTGATCGATGATGAGATGTTAACTTTCCTTAATAAAAACTAAATTTATCATTGCGTCGCGTAAAAAGGCGCGATTAATACGTCGAAGTTCGGGGTATAAGATAGCTTGACCACATGATAAATCCGAAAATGATTCGAGTATAATTAAGTGATAATTAATTGGCGTGATTGAGAGTTGGCTTAAGAGATTGATCTAATTTAATCTCGATTCACAATACTCGTCGTGTAATGTCAAATTGGTACATATAGTAGTATATTGTAATATAAAATTCCAATTTCGAAAGTGGTCATTGCGCGAGGTAATATTCTTAAATTTCATACGTAATCTCAATAATGATCAGTTTGAGATTAAGTTTATTTACGTTTATTGTGTTTATTGTGATATGATATTAACTAATAATCCCGATTTCAAAGTATCGGATCATAATTTCTCCAACCTTATTTGTTTTTTTTTTAATGCATTATATCTCAAATGGGGAGGAGATGCAATTTCGTGATGAGGACACATTTCTGTACACGATCCTTTTATCTGTAGATTGATACATCACGTAAATGTCATACATTTCACGTATAAAAAAATTTTTTTTTTTTTTGCAAATGGTAAAGATTTATTTGATATACTGTAAATAATCTATAAAAATTATTAAAATCAATTTACAAAGTTCTATATTATTAGTCTAAAAAATTTCTATAATTATTGGGATCTAGGCCTTTCATCTTCACTAATTATTTCAGTAGTAAAATCATAATCATCAGCTATTGAATCATCATAGAAAGTTTCATAAAGAACGTGATCATTGCTTTTATGAAAAAGTTTATAAACTTCAACCCTTTCAGAAATAAAATGTTCATAATCCACGATCTTTTTTTCAAAGATTTGTTGCCTACATACACCTTTAATCCAATTTAAATCATTACCAAACCAAGGAAACTTCTCAGAAGTACAACCAACTTTATTAACGGTGGGTTTAATACTACTATATATACCCTTGGAATCATTGTCATCATCATGATTCATGTCTAAAGAAAAGATAAAACAATTTGCCAAGGTATCATATTTTTGGATTTTATTCCAAATATCAGCATTATAACCACCAATTATTTGATTAAACCCCGAAGGTTTGATAAGAACTACGGTTGGACCATGACGATTACATTTCTTGTAAAATTTGTTGATATCTTTTAATTCATCTTGACCACTACGATAAAGTAGCTTAAACATATAAGGCATGGATTCGGGTTGATAAGGTTGATGCTTTTTATCAATCCACGAAGAAATCAAAGAGAAATGTTTTAACCTGATTAAGGTAGACTCTTCATCGGTGTACCTTAATCTCTTTGACAAAATGATTGAACGATTTGGTCGTCTACCCGCCAAATAAAATTCTCTCAATTCATTCTTTACTTCTTTTGACAAGATTTTTTTAAAGGGTCTTACTTTATCATGATAATCCGCTCCAGAGATCAAAAAGAATCTAATGTGCGGTAAACAATCTTTCAAAGATGATTTTAACTTTTCAAAATCTTCCGTCTTCCAATTATTTATATCATCTTTTTCTTCAGTATCTAATGAACATTTGACTTTACCCCATTTAATAACTTGATTCCAAATTTCAATCTCTTTTAAATCCAAATTATCACTCATCAATAATTTAGTTAAGATGCTCTCCTCTAAATGTCCAATATCTTTTGATCTCAAAAATGTTGATGAATCCTTTTGTATGATCTCCTCGCACGTCATTTTTAATTTACAAAACGCCTCATGTGTTGATGCAATTCGTTGAATCCTTACTAAATTTTGTCGAAGCCAAAACATTTCTTTTTTAAGAATATAATCGATAATATGATCGATCAATTCGGTTAACGCAAGTTCATCCGCTGCTATCAATATATCAAGGAAGTACGGAAGCATATCTTCCGATAAAGAAATTATTCCGGTATAGATAAATCTAAACGAGAATGTGTGGTGAAAAACATAGATTTATATTTATAATAAGTATTGACTTTTTTTTCCTAAAAAAAAAAATAAAGATAAAAAAATAAAAACAAAAAAAAAAATTATCGGATTATTTACCTCAATATAATACGAAAAACGTCGGGTAAGATATTTGGTTTCTTCATCCTAATAATCCCATTGTCGGATTTCGCCCAATTAGTTGATAAAGCTGCGAGAAAATACGCCGATCTAGACCTCAGGATGACGGAATGAGCTTTAAAAATTTCAATATTTTGTTCATGGCCAACTTCAATTACAACATTATAATCATCTGCCTCCTGATATAATTTTCGAATATCTCGTAAAAAAGATTTTTCCAATTTATTTTCCATCTTCCTTTTTTTTTTTTATTTATTTTTTTTTTTTTTAAAAGAGAGGAGAAAAACTTTCAAAAAAAAATAAAAAGGTCGATTCGGTTATATAATCAAATCCCTTAACTTTCCTTCCTTAATAGGGGAGATGTGAAGGTTGTAAATATCAATAATTGTTTCACTTGAAAAAATGATTTCATATGGTTTCCTTAAAAAAAAAGACGTTGTTTTTAGAATCAATTTATATATATATAGGGTGGTATGCTATCAATTATCATATGACTCTATCCAATTTATAGTGCAGATGTTATTTGAAAGGTTAGGATTATCGTTAACCTAATCAATCAAATGATTTTTTTTGGAGACCGATATTTCTTTGATTGTTATCAACCCTTTTCATGTTTTTTGAAACGGCATCTTTTTGGTCAAAAAATTGCACGTTAAAAACTGAAACTTTGAAATGAATTAAAATCTGATTTTAATAACCTTTAGGCATTGCTGATCTACAAGCCGTTTGAAAAAAATATGTATTTAATACAGACCTCTGTTACGAATCAAATTTTGATCTATTTGTAAAGCAAATCGTGAACACAAATACAATAAAAGAAAAGATTATCTCGCTTTAACCACGTATTATTGTCAGAAACCGTTCTTTTCGCCTCCTGTGGTGTGTCGATTTTTTTATTTGAGAATCTTCTCTCTTTTTTTTTTTTTGGTTAACGGAATCATCTTTTTGATCATGTTTCATATTATAACTAACTCTCTTTTCCGTGGATAGATTAAATAAATATAAAATCGTTCCGAGGATTTAATTTTATCTCATTTCCTTTAAAAGCTTGTTTTGCGATAATTCGACTCTTTCCTTTTTTTTTTTTTTTATTGAGTCATTGTTATTTAAAATGTAATCACCAATCTCTATTAGAATTAGTTGCTTTAAAAAATTTATTAAAAAAAGAAGATTATTATACATACAATATAAATTTAATGATTTGAAACCTTGATAATATATATAAATAAGTATTTTCATCGATTTATGACGCAATTTCAATTAACTGCGCACGGGAATACATAAAGAGAAAAAAAGAAATAAAAAAAAAAAGAGTTTCGCTTGCGAACGTGCACGTTTTTTGAAAAGTCATGTAACGTCGTGATTTATTACTATTCTTAGTCAAAGATCACAGATTAGGTGAACGTTTTGATCAAAATCCTCCTTGACGAGATCTCTGGTATTTATACAGAGTTCATTCCCCCCATGTTCAAAAAAAAAGGTTTAATCGATGGAAGAAATCATATAATGATGCTCCTTAAGATAAGATTTCAAATTTTTCGTAACCCTAGGATGCGACAATCGTCATCTGTAATGCAACGAAGGTTATTCAACTCGAGTTTGATGAAACGTCAATCCACATCACCTCTAGGATCGGAAACGAACCTTGTTCCGATGGAATCGATCGACAACAATGTCAATTCAAGAGATCAACCATTGAAGATATGGACGGATCAAGAATTAAAGACCCTTTTTGATGCTTTCTCTAAGCATGGTAGCGATTGGAACATCATATCCAAGGAATACTTTCAAGAAAGTCGAACCCCTTCGGCTATAAAAAACAAATGGAAACGTGCTAACATTTGGACCAAAGTGGAAGAAAATAAACTCGAAGATGCCATCTCAAAACATGGAGAAGATTGGGAATTTATTTCCAAAGAGTACTTTCAAATGAAACGGACACCTCGAATATTAAAAATCAAATGGAAAACTTTCCTCAAGCGTCAGACGCAAAAAGCAAGGACACTTAGAGATGCTGTCAAGGAATACTTTCAAGTAAGTCGATCCCCTTCGTCATTAAAACATAAATGGGTACGTTCTGTTAATCATTTGACCGAAGAAGAAGTAAGGTTACTTCAAGATGCCGTATCAAAACATGGAAAAGATTGGGAATTTATTTCCAAAGAGTACTTTCAAATGAATCGGACACCTCGGGAATTAAAAAACAAATGGAACAATCATTGGACGGAGGATGAAGTAAGGAAACTTAGAGATGCTGTCGCCAAACATGGTGAAGATTGGAATTTCATAACCGAGAAATACTTTCAAGCAAGTCGAACATCTTCGTCAATAAATCATAAATGGATACGTTCTGTTAATCATTTGACTGAAGAAGAAGGATGGATACTTATTGATGCGGTTTCAAAACACGAAGGAGATTGGGAATTTATTTCTAAAAAGTATTTTCAAAATAATCGGTCAGCTCGGGAATTAGAAATCAAATGGAACACTCTTCTCAAGTATTGGAGTGAGGAAGAAATAAAGAAACTTAGAGATGCCGTTTCTAAGCATGGTAAAGATTGGCAGTTGATATCCAAGGAATATTTTCAAGCAAATCGAACAGTTTCGTCATTAAAAGATAAACATAGTAGGAGCAAAGATAAAATGCTTCTGATCAAAGAACATGACACATACCAGGAAAACGTTAAAAAAATCAACAACACCAATCCAGAGAATCAAGAAATTTATGATACAAAATCAACTAACGATTACCATACAAAGACATATCGTAAACGAAATAAACATTCATGGACAAACGAAGAGGATCAAATTTTACCCGAACTAATTAAAAATCATGGGATTAAAATAGCTGCCGAAATGTTGAATCGGTCTAAAAGGTCACTATATTCCTATTATAAGAAAAAAGAACATTCTTATGATTCGTTAATGAAAAAATCGAATACGATTTCGAAGAAATTTCAAAAGCCTTCGGATGTTGGCGTTGATAAAGATATAGAGACCTCGTGGATTAGAAATTTGGATGAAAGCTCTACATATAAATCAAGTTTACAACGATGCAGAATAAATTGGCAGCAGCTTTGTTTACAAAGTCCTTGATAAAAAAAGTGACAAATTTATTAAATTTTTTTTTTAAAAATAAATTTTTATTTTATTTTATTTTTTTTGGAATTCTAGATTAGGTTTTTTTTGTTGTTTTTTTTTAAAAAAAAAGGTTTTTTGATCCGCAAGTCCGATGTATACCACCGAAAACCGCTTTTGACTTCCCTTTACGGAAGTGATGTTTGTTTGATAATCACGTGTATATGATCGACATTCTCGTTATGCATCAAACAAACAATTCGAAAAGAAGAATAACACGATTCCTTTTATGACATTTCGAATTAAAAATTTTGATTTTTCGAGACATCGCAAACCAAATCGGGGATGCTGATCATATTTATTGTGTTTATGTAAGGGGAATTTACAAAATTCTCCGATAAAAATTTTTTCGACAATTGAAGTGTAACCACTTTTTTTTTTTAAATTAAGGGAAAAAAAAAAAAAAAAAGGAATGTGTGTATATTATATTTTTAAAATTGATCTTGAATCCAAATTGGCAGAGATTCAATTACCTTATAGGAAAGTTTCTTTTTATAATGTAAACTAAAATGATATTTTTCTAAAAGATATCTGCTCAATTTTATAAATTGTAAACTGCCAACTCTATCGTAATATTCCATGATGAACAAAGAATATTTTCTATGCGGTTCATATATAACAAATAACTCGAAAGAAATTAAATGTATTGAACATGCACTCAAGAATGTTTTTAGTAATCCCATAGTGAAGGAAAGATTTAGGGATAAGTGGTGTAAGGAGTAAGGTAATGAATGAGCTAATTGATGGATCATGGCCTCCGTGAATAAACAATACTCCTCTTTAGGAGATTCTACATACAATTGCTTCAAAGAATTCATCAAAGACAATACTTTACTAAACCTTGATATGGTCTGAGATTTAATGATGATACGCAGATGAGTCAAGTTCACCGAGTACTTTTTTAAATTGATAAAGTATTCGGAACAAAAATATTTACAGGTAAATGTTTTTAAGTTATTCGATATCATTTGTAACAGGAAGGAAATTCCATAGTCATTATGAGTGTTAACGGTAGAACTTTCCGGTTGATTTTGCAAATAACAAAGTTTGTTTATAGAAATATTTGCATTCCTATATTTTAATATGGGCACGTGGTCATTTTTATGGAATTCTTCAACTTCTAACGTGGTTAAATTATTACAAATCACTAACACTTCCATTAAACAACTTAATCTAACCCTACCAAATAATCTAATATGACTTAAGGAATCTCCTTGTTTACATAATGAATTAAAGATCACTTTATCATGTCGAGGTATCCAAATTTCGTTTATCTCAAAACTTTTTAGAGCCCTTTGGGATCCAACTAGATTCGCAATCGAATTATAAATTGATTGCACGCTAAATTCTGTATTATTTAAACGGAAAGATAAATGTTTGATATTCGTCGCGGATGATGAGATGGTATTAAGGAAATTTGGCCATGTTATCGAATAAACTTCATCCATGATACAGCTTCCATTAAATCTAAATGATTGAATCTTATCCAACGAATTGTTTATCAAGGAATGACTTGAACCTACTCTCTCTTCTCTTTTTCCTCCAAGCAACGATAATGAATGGTCTAATGTAAGGATGATCTGTCTAGACAGATGAGTCCGGTAATAATCAAATTCTCTGATACCTCGAGATCGAGAAAAGATCATGTTGACGATTACGCTGGATATGATCATCCTTTTCCCATTCATGTGCAAAAAATCGATTTCGTTTCCGGTAACGAAATCCTCGAGACCTATAGCAAAATTGCTATAGATAAATGTCAAGAGGAATGAAGGGTAATCAAATAATGGTGGGGATGGATGGGTTGGAATTCGAATCTGTTGCTGACGCAACAGGGACTTTTCTGATTCATCCAAACAGCAGATATATGTACGTACGGCAAAATATCCATAATAATTCGGTTTCATGAATGGATTGCTCCATAATATTGGTATGGCTAACCTACACCAAAGTCTGCTCACCAGGATACAAGAATGCAAAGACGTTCGATCATCACTTAAACAACGGAATATTTCATCCAATATATCTGGTATTAATACTGGTTTGGATTTTGTTAACTTTGAAAGTTTTGGAAATTTTAACTTGTTTGAAAATCTTTTGATGGAAAAGTTACTATGTCCCATTTTCTTTTTGGGGAATACCGGTTATGAGATAGATAAAAAGAATGTGTAATGATAAAGTTTAAAAAGGAGAAGGGAGAGTATAAGATGGTAAGGAGAAAAAAGAGAAGAATAATTTTTTTTTTTTTTTTTGTGTGAATGAAGGAGCTCATCGTTTTATAAAAAAAATTTCATGATTTGTCCGAATATGTGTGTATTACCCGTAAATTCCTAAAGAAGTAACATAACCTTATTCTTATTATTCTGAAAATCGGATCATCCTTCTTTACTAAATACCAATAATAATATTTTTTGTTGTGGTATGTCCACGTCACGGTTGTAAGTAAAAATAAAGATCAAAATCATTTGTTCAATTTTTATAAATATGACATGGGAGTCTATCACCTGTTCACTTGTTAACCTTTACACGATGTTTGTGACACTGCGATACAGGTGTGATTAGTAGTCGGTTTCATATTCGGCGTCGAAATTGATGAAACCGACCAAGTTATCATTGATAGATCGTGACTTGTAGCTTTTTTTTCGTAAAGTCACGCGATTAGAATGATGCCTAACTTCGGTCCGGCTGGTCCATATAAGGATCATTTTTATTAAACCATTTATTCATAGTGACAGATTCCGTTTATAAATTGTTTTATTTGCAGTTTTTCAGGAGAAAGTTTGTGTTACGTAATACAGGTTTAGAGCTTATTAATGTTTATAATACATTTATCCGTGATGACAGCGGTTCAATGGAAAGAAACTAACCTAAAACTCTATCATCATTTCTTTCATGTAATTCTTTTAAACGTTTTTGCTTTTTTTTTTATTTTTATCTTTTTTATTTTTTTTAAAAAAAAACTTGATTGTCAAAAAGCATTTATTGTATTTTACAAACAAACTCGTTTTTAATTGAGTGATAATGATAGAAATTAAATCTTATCTAATTTGTAATTTTACGGGGGTCCCTTATTGTACGCTTCTGCATATGTACACTGATAATGTCCGTTCTTTATCTTTCTCAAATTATCTATATCATCAATCAAAGATTTTTGGTGTCAAAATTTTGATTTGGTAATTTCCCATTTGTTGAAATTTGTGAATTTTTTAAAAAAAAAAAAAAAAAAAAAATAAATAAATAAGTAAATAAATAAATGAAGACGTGTATTTATGTATGATGAAATGAGGCATGATAAAGATCTTCAGTTGATATTTTTGAGTAATTATAACGGGCTATATATACTTTGAACTTTATCATTAAAAAAATTCGATTTAATAAAAGTTAATTTGTCGAAGATCCCTCTACATCGTAAATTGTTGACGCTAAAAAAAGGTGCATCTATTTATGGAATTTTTTTTTTATTTTGTTTTCTTTAATTGTGCGTTTCCAACTAGATTTTTAAATAGAAGAGAATATGAAATTTTTCGTAACAAAAGTTTTACCGCAACAAGTATTTCAAATAGATAGGGGTTGGTATTGTAACGTAGTACATCGGTTAAATCAATTCCAACTATCAAATAATTTTATTAAAGTAAAGTAATATTATTATTAAATTGCATTAACTGAACATGTTCTAATCTAGTGTTGACGACCAAAAGATTGTCAAATGTCAAAACACTCTCCATAAAGATGATCTGGACTCATTCATAAGACTGATCTCTGTGTAATCTAAAGGGTAGGAAATCAAAGATTGATTGACAGATTCCAAAATGGTCCTAATAACAATTCTTCAATATACATGTTAAGCCAGCAACTTTTTTTAGAAATAGATTAGATACAAAATAGCAAAGAGTAGCAATATTTATAAAAAAAATGCTGATTTGTATTGAAATTATTTTGAAAATCATTATTTTATAAAAGAAAACATTATTTTTTACTTTACTTCTATTTTTTATTTATTTATTTTTTTTTTTAAAAAAAAAAAAAAAGTTTTATATTTAATAAAAAGTACAAATAAAGTTTGATTGTAAAAATCTGATTTTATTTAAAAAAATAAATTAGATTAGATTATTTAGATAACTTAATACTATTAACACTAATATTAGATATATAAGATTAGAAATAATGTTAAAGTATAGTATTTTTTATACAAGTAGTATCAACTTTATTTAATATATATAAATTTTTCAATTCTAATTATAAGTAATTTATATATTTACCAAAATTTAAAATAATAAATAGTAGTATAATATTAGAAATATACATATTCTTCTCCTATTACATGATTATATATTATTAAGATTATAAAACTTAATTTAAGAATTAACTATTTGATCATTATATTTATAAAAATTTATATTCTTTATAAAATAATTTTAACTAACTTTAAAGTAATCTATTATAAAATCTTTATTTTTTATAATAATTATTATATTAGTTATATTTAAATGAATTTTCAGAATTTTTATATAATGAAAATAACAATAAAAAATAATATAAATAAAGCAATAATATTAATAATGAATCAATGATATTTCATTAAAAAATATATATACTAGACAAATATTAATAATATTTGAAATCCTTAAAATATGTTCAAATAATATGTAATTTAAAATAAAAACAATAAGATATAAAAAAATAGTAGTAGCTAGTTCAGAAAAATATATAAATATTATTATAGAATAAATAAAAATTTAAGAAAAAGATAGGTTCTATACATAATTAAAATCAAGAATCAGTTCATATTAAATGTAAATTTCTTATAAGTATAAAATATTATAACCTTTTAAATTTAGTATTTATTAACAAATTTGTTAATATATATTATTATATATTATAAATAAGACTACTTTTCAGAAATTTTTATTTGTATTATACAAAATATCAAATAATATTATGGAATAATACAGTTTATTATTTAAAAATGTAATTTAAAACTATTATTTTATAAAAATATTAAGAAATAAAATATTTTAATTAAAATATTTATAATCAAGATCTTTATAATATAATATATAGATTTAAGTTTAATATTCAAATTAAAAATAATGCAATAATTCTTATTGAATATTTAAAAAAAAATTATATAAGAAAGATTTTAAATGGTATTTCAAGTTAATTTAAAAAATTAATAATAGATTATCTAAAAACTAATAAATATTTAATATTATTGAGTATATTTATTATAATAGATTATGATTAATAAAGTTAAATTGTAATAATAATAGTTATTCATAATAATTAATATTAATCCTATATTATAAATTATAATTAATAATTAATATTTTAAAATAATAGTAAAATACTATGCTTTTCATAATTAATAAAAAGTTTAAAAGAAAATTTAATAATAAATATGATAAATTTATTAAAGATTTTTATGTTTACATAATTTACTTATTATATCAAAATTTAAAAATTGTGAAACTGATCTAATAATAAAATATTTAGAAATTAAAAAAATATAATAAAGATATATTATATTTTACTAAGATATATTAGACTTGTAGATTACTAAATGCAATTTTTAATAAACATATATTTTACTCAATAAGTAGAAAATTTAAATTATATTATAAAAGAAAGCTAATTCAAAAAATTTATTATATTAGCTTTATTAAAAATTAAACTGTAATTAAAAAATAAAGTTAAATATTTAAAACTATAAAATTTTATAATATAAACTTTAATATAAGAATTTTATAAATTCTAATATCATTTTAAAACTATTGATGAAATTTGTAAAAAATATTTTATTTTAAATTTATTAGCTTTATAACAGAATAAATAGTTAAACCTCTTTTATATAGATTCGGATAAAGAAATTAATAATATAATAATACAGATAATAGCTTATATTATATATATATTTGTTAATTCTATTTATTATATATATAATAATACTTAAATTTTAATAATTAATGTTAAGAATAAAAATTAATATAATAAAGGTTTTATAAAAAATAATTATAAAAAATCACAAATTTTACTTAATATAGTTCTTAAAGATTATTTAAATAGTGTTATAAAGAAATCTAAAAGGTTAAACATATTTAAAATATAATAATTTATTATACTATTTAATAATAATACTTAATATTATATGTATCACTAATTTATATTAGATTTATTTGCAGATATTTTTTTAATAATATTATAATTAAAAATAATATAATTTAATATCAAAACTAATTTCCTTTTATTAATATTATAAAAAAGGTTTTGTAATAAAAGTACTGTTAGAAATATCTAATATTATATTAATATAAATACTATTTCTTGATAAGATATACTATAAAATCATGTAATATAATTTTATATATTAATAATAATAATTAAAAATTAATAATATTTATTATCCTTTAAATTATCTAATAGATAAATTTACTTATAAACTAAATAAAATATTAATTTTTTAAATATTAATATAATAATTTTATGAAAATATAGTTTAATATCTATTTTATTAATTTTATTAGAAGAAATTTTAAGTTTATTAAGAAGATTTTTAAAATAATTTAATTTTTAAAATTAAGTTTTAAAAAATTTATTATAAAAATTTTTTTGATTATAAATTAATTAAATTATTTTATTACTAATAAATCATGAAATTTTAATAATTAAAGTTATTTTTTATGATAAATTTTGTAATATTAATATTAATGTTAATAGTTTATCAAAAGTTAATGATAAAATTTTTTAATATAAATTTTTATATTTTAAAATTTACAAATTTTTAGCTTATAAATAAGGTTGTTAAATAAAATCTAAAGGTTTTATAAGTCATCTAAATAGAAAAAAATAAAATTTAGCAAAATTATATTAAAATCTTATTAAAAAATCTGCAAAATTCTAAAAAAGGTAAAACTACATTAAAGCTTATAAAAATGTGAAATTATATCAAAATCTTAGTAAAAATTTAGTAAACTATAATTTAGATATTTTGCCTAATCTAAAATGAGCTTAGACAAGTAACTTTACTTATAAGTAACTTTAAATTATTATTATATAATTTAAAAATAAAAAGTTATTATAATATAATATATTTATATAATTAATTTAAAAAAATAATTTTTTAAAA